TCACTTCTTTCTCCTCTTCTCTCTCTCTCTCTCTCTCCCATTCTGTGCCCAACCGTACTATACATTTGAATCATTGGTATGTTCAGTAACATTGAAAAGACTCACAAAATTATTGCATTCATTCCATGATTTTGGGCTCTTTTTTCATTGTATTTACAACTGAGTGAACGATTATATGATATGACATTACATTCTTTAAGTGTAATCTTGTGTTTAATTGCAAATAATTCAAAAACAGGCGAATATCCGAAACGCCATGAAATAAACCCTAACATTAAACTAAAGAATAAATTGCCCCAAAAATATGTTTATTGGTTTTGTGAAAATTAATTTTTATATTTTCCTGAAAATATCAAATTTTAATATTTATTTTGATTTATTTCTCACTAAAAAAATCAACAAAATTGGAGTTTATATTAAAAATACTAATTTATATAAAATATATTATTATTAGAGTTTATGACATATTTCGGAGTCTAGTTTCTGATTACAGTGAGGTTTCATCCCTAGTATTGTCATAAGAGTAGTGTATAATAAAAAGATAACTGCATTTGTATCATAAGTTAATGTCAGAAAAGTGGAAATCAATACATTATGGCCCTATAGTGCGGCATATGCTGTGCGCTCACACTTTCACGCCTGTAATGGCATAGAATATCACATAATATTCTGTAACATAAGTGTCAGTTCGGAGACTGAGAGACAACTTTTGACATTAAAAGAAATATTAGATTCTATTAAAACTATTACAGTAGAAAATATATCTTTTATTTTTAATAATAAGTATAAATTGAAAAATACATAATAATATTATTTTATTAATAAATCGCTTAAAACTCTAGAATTAAAAGTTTGGATTGAAATCGGATTTTCGTTTTCAAACTGATAGTGACTTAAGTCGTGGGCAATGGAACAGATGACTGATGTATAAGTGAGTTAAGCTCCCGGTGTTGGACATAGTTATGTACTTTGGATGTGTTTGACTAAACAGAAGCTCAATGAATATTGCCATACATTTGGCTTATCTTTAGAGTACAAATATATCAAAAAACGTGTTACAGAACTACTCATTGATTTTGATTCACATTCACTTCTTTCTCCTCTTTTCTCTTTCATGTCGTATATCAGTAAATACTGACGACTCGTATCTTTTGTAATGTTTAGTATAACTTATTCAATGATATTGTGCGCACCCACTGTACCCACTGTTACCGCTATATCCACTGCCATATCCACTATCACCCACTCATTTGCTTCACGAGTCGGTCCCTCGAACTTCCTTTGAGGTGACATTTATTTCATTCATTTTCACCGTTTCTCTAATTTCCTGAACTCAACAGTGGTTTCACTGATAAATTGAATTACAAATTGAATTCTACACTAACGAGCGCTTCGATACCAATAATCAAGATTTTCATTGAATTTCACATTAAATTCTAGCGAAAGATAAAAGCAGATAATTTTTACAGTAAACCATAATCATTAACATTATGAAAATATCTATTAAATTTGCCACAAAACCTATTCCTTAGAAATAGTAATTACCAAAAGTTATTAATATTTTTTGTTTTTTTAAGAATGGATTAAATTCTCTGAGCTTTTAATATAAGGGATGAGAAGAGATAGAGAATAACAACTAAGAGAGTAATTCGTCGGATAGAATAGCCATCAAATGTAAGCAGTGTTTAAATATAAGCACTAGAATAGAGCTAATCATTTAGATATACGAAAGGCAGTGACTGTAGAGAATGTCTGCCTTTAACCTGCGTTTGCCTCAAAGTGAACGGCATTGCAATCACAAGTGACTCTCATCTTCTCTCTCACTCTCTGTCTCTTTCTGTGATTCTCTGTTATTATTTGTGACAAATAAGAGGATTAGAGAGCCGTTCACTCGACTGAGAGATCCTACGCTCGCATAGAGTGTGTGTTAGGCTATGAGAGGCACAAATGGAGACAATAGGCCAGCGTTAGTGTTGGGAACGACGGCTCGACTCAATAAGTAGTCCTCAGCGGTGACAACCGATACGTTATGGCTCTCTATCGGAGCTCTCCCTCAAAAGTCAAGCGAACAAAATTGCAATTAATTGGCGCATAAATATTGTCCAATATCTCCATCCACTCTATTATGTGCTTTTTGGATGGGATCCAGTTCTCCGCTAACGGCCTTATTATGACTACACTTACAAATTAAATATTGAATTTCATATACAAGAACAACATTAGGGTTTATGGCATCGAAGGCTCGGCCGACTCCTCCACTTTTTTCTGCGCTATAGTTATGTTATATCAATAGTAAAGTATATCTCGACTTAAAGTCAGTGCACATCAAACACGCGTCGTATAACCGCTTATTAAAAAGTGAGTTCAAGTGAAAACAAATTGAAAATTTTCTGCTTTTACTACTCGTTTGACTTAAACTGTACTTCACTTGACTACTATTTGGTTGAAATTGAATGTGAATTTCAGATTTAGAAATATTATGTACGGAAAGGCAAGCGAACTACCCGTTCGGTGTTTGACAAATTTCGCAAAATTATAAGCATTAGTATAGTATTAGTTATATTAGTGGCACTGAAATCAATTTATAATAGTTGTGTCCCTCATGTCATCCACAGCGGACTCCTCATCCATATCATGGTTTCATATATTATAGTAATAGAATCGGCCAAAAGACTCACCGGTTTTCACTTGATATTTGAGAGCATCTCTACAGTCAGTCACGATTTGTTTGATATCTAAGGGTTCGTCGGGTATACTAAAGTCGAATAATTTTTTCATTTCTTCCGGTGTATGAAAATCCAATACTTTAGTCGTTCTGTCATTTGATTTTTGAATGAAGTCCAGACATATCTCTATCACTTGGAGTAAGAATTCTTTGGTTGGTTTGTATCCATTCTCGTCGATCGGAAACAGGTCTTAACAAATCAAAAGTTTTGTTAAAGTAACTCAAAATTCCATAATTTAGTTGACATTTATCGTTTAAAGAATTAATATAAAAATAATAACGAATTTGAACAAAGTTAACAATAGTTGTGATAAATGCATATATTAGTGGTTATACTTTTAACAATTCAATTCAGTTCAATCGTAATCTAAATATTACAATAAGTTTTGTAAAAACAGAAATGAAAGCATCTTTCATCGAATCCTCGAATCATAACAATTGACTAATTTTTGGGGAAATTATATTTTCTCGGTTACAAAAAGAGTGTTATCGAAAAAATGCAGGCATTCATAGACTCAATATATGTATACATTTTATACAAATTCACTGATTTGATGATCCATGAAAAGAATTGAGCGAAAGCTATGGACTGGTGCTCTGTTTGGCTGTACATTTAATTTGAGACACTTTTACATTGAGTTTTTCGCGAACCACTGAATGCCATAATTTAGATTCACTTGAAAAGAGCAAACGGTGAGGACTAGAGTTACCAAAATGATGGCTTTCTCTCACATACAAAGAGCTACCCCTAAATCCTATCCCTTGAGACTTTTATATCATACAAATAAATGCTTTTCTATTTTCAACATAAATATATTGTGAAGCTGTGATTGAATGGAGTATTGGTTTAAAAAATATGATTGACTTGTAATGACTTTTTGTTGTCTTTCATTTTGAGATTTTTCTTTCATTTCAGTCATTCTCTCACTTTTGAGAATCAGTTCAAAATCAAAGAATTTGTATTACTTTCATATAAGCTATCGATTGATACAAATACACACAGAATTTCTCAATAAATATAAATTATTCCCAAAACACGAACTCATTATTTGTAAAAGTAATTGAAATAAAGTGCGGTTTTTAGCAACAAATTGATTGATTGTTTGTCACTCTCTTTTTAGTCACTAAAATTCGCGTCGAATCTAATTAAATGAGTACTCATTTAAAGCACAAAACTTCAAATGTTTGTATTGTCAACACATTTAACGGTTTCAACAAAAGCCCTCTTTTGCCTATCGTTTAGGATTCTATTCAAAAGCTTTTCCCCCTTTATTTGCAGAGACGATGGTTTCACACAAAACTCATTCAACTTATTTAACGTTAATTTTGTGTCATTAATGCGATTAAAAAACGACATAACAAACAAATTAATGCATAAATCCGTTATTAATCAGAAGATATAAAATATGGAAAGTAATGAAAAATTAAATTTATTATACATTACCCGTGTATTTGAGTTTATCAATAGTCGTGGAGTTAGTGTCCGTTTGACTTCTCTTTCCCGATGACTCCATTTCGACGATTGACTCCTAAATACCAAATTTTAATTAAATCTCTGTTATTATAATATAAATACACAAATAAATGGCAATTTTTACCAAATGTTATGATATTAAATGGGATTGAAGTGATGGTGAAGAGTATGTGAGCGGAGGTCCGCAAGTTTGATGTCTGGGACTCCGAGCACTACTGAAACGGGAACTGAGTTTGTGATCAACTTATAGACAATTTCGTTGGATATAAGACATTGTGACGCAATTGAAGTCCTGACAAATGGGAGACTCAAAGACTGTGTTATTTTATAAAATACCGATGCGTTACGAATGCATTGTAATCCTCCGCCCACTTCTGGCATCACTTTGGCATCACTTTTGATACGAGTTATATGTGTTACACATATTGTTCACATTTTTCCTCAAACTATTCATTTAATACATGTTTGGATCTATTTTTAGAGGAATTCAGTTGAATGGTATGATAAGGTCGGGGGTGACTGAAGCATGTTATGCACCTAAATGTCAAAATTGATCCATTATTTTAGGCTAAGAAATGAACCAAAAAATATATACAGTATACTATATATTGGGATATTTTATTGCTGTTTTGTTTTGATTATAAGTTTTGTATTAAAATCATATGTAATAATATCCTAATAAATGACTTTATTTGGCGATTAGTATTTAGCGGTGGGTTCTCTTCGAAATAGTGATACGAGTGATGAGAATGAGACCAAAAAATAGCATCACTTCATACGTGAGAAGTCACTCCCCAAAGGCTTTGAGGGATCAAAGAAACGAATCGTTTGGATAGCATTTGCCGACACATTAAATCCCAATACAAACGACTTCAATGATTGGAGAAAACGGCGCACGAAATCAAAAGTAATGCCATTTTGGGAGCGCATGGTTTCAGCTCTACTCCACTGTCATAATCATTGATTTTAATTGTTGATTATGTTATGGACTTCAAACATATTAACAATAAATATGAACCAAAGTTTGTACTATAATTGTGACATAAGATACACATTCACTGCTCTCATAAAAAAGATTTAGCTTACTGTCAAAGTAGTGTTCCCACAATCATTATTTATGCTTCAAAAACAAAGCAAGGAAAAACTCAAGGAATTTTTTTTATACAATCTCAAGGAATCTCAAGGATAATAATACTTTAAAGCACATTTTCAAGGAAATTGAAACATTGACATGGGGACACTATGGGCCACTTTGGAAACCCATAAGAAATTTGAAACTTAATCTGAAGCAATACCGTAATAATTTAATTAATCAAACTAAAAGTCGTAATAATGTACCAGATATACTACATTAAATTATTTAAATCGCGTTTAAGAAAACGACAAGAACGAAACTAATTTATAAAATGAATTTGCACATCAAAACCACGAGAGCTAGGGTTTTGTGATTTAAAATTAACAACAATTTAACATATTTTAATTATAATTTGAGAACTCAAGGAAATTTTATTTTTTTATTTAAAAAATTGTCTTGAAAATAATAATTTGAAAGGAAATTGAAATGTGGATCTGAACTGCATGTGGCAACACTATGTCAAAAAGTAGAATGCAAGCTTTCAAATACTTAACTCTTCGCTCCAATGATTTCTATATTTGAATCAATAAAATCTTTTTATGGCTCATAAACTTCAATCAATTGTATTAAAAGAGTTGTATTTTTAATTAAATGTTTGAAAACAATAAATTATTAAAATGTAATTGACATCTTACAAGTTAGATAACATCTTAGGTGACATTTCCTAGATATAATTTAAGCTTTTATGGAATATAAGCATTTATTTTGTATACCATACAAATCCTACGAAAGAAATTTCAGTATAACCCAAATTATTTTTGAATTCTAGTTTCAAACATTTATTTTCTTATAAATAAACATTTTGTAATTTAAGTGACATATTACAGTTAACGTTATTATATTTTTCAAAAACATTATCTATGATATTTGTTTCATTATAATTCATTAAGATAAATTTACAATTGTATTTTTAATTATAACTATTAAAATAACTGTTAAAATTCATTTATTAGCTCAATATTTAAAGTATTGAATACATTTAAAATGTGCAATTTTGTAAATCAGTTAGCACATATTTTAAATGTTTTAGATTTTGGTTATTTTTATTGCATTCTTCAACCAATAAGTTATTCCTTATAAATAAAATTTTAGATGATTTTTATTTTAAATTTTCAAAAGTTCTCATAAATTGCTTTTTAGTAACTTTTCGTGTGACTATTCAATAAGTTCTAGAAATAACACTTCATTAATGATTAATAATTAATTGCAAAATAAGTGTAATCACAAAATTACAATGTTTTAAAAGTTTGAAAACTTCAATGAATATTCTATTTGTATTTTATTCAAGTTGTGTACATGTATTCAAAGGTAAATATTCATATAAATCTACTGATAATGGGCAGCATTTGAGGACACTAGTTATGTCCATGGACCATGGGCAACAAATGTTCCCTACATCTTGCTTTGCTGGGCATTATATGGGATGAGTGAGGAAAGTGATGGTTAATTATTATGAAACAAAACAATCTCTATATGAATGTGTATCTGTAAGTCAAGTCAATGCCTTTTCTTCCGCTTTCAGTGCTTTCTATCAATTATTTTCTGAAATAAAATCATTTGAAAACGATTTTGAGGCAAACGTTTGCCTGAAATGACTCTTAACTGCAAACCAATGGTAAAGAATAGGAAGGAAGAGATGAATGGGAGAAGTGTTGAGGGGTTGGGAGTGATGTGCCCTCTGGTGGGCGCTCTAGTGGTCAGTGTTTGGGCCCAAAGTGTGTGAAGAGAGAGGCATAGAGTTGTGCCCAACGGACCAATGGGTGCATTGGGTCTGAGTTGAGGGCGTATTCGTTGTGTCTATTGTTTAATGGTTTGAATGAACCGTTGGTTTGGCTTTCATTTCAAACGCCAAAAATAAAACTGAAAACAAACGATCGTTTCGTTTGACACCCATTTGGACATCACTTGCGAATCTCATTCACCACTCCATCACTTGATCCGCACCAATGCCACCGAAGACCAGAGCCGAGAAGAGTCCCAAAGCGGACCAATTGTGGGCCTTAAGAAAGGCGGCGATTATCTCGACATCAGTTGGATTGGCGTTTCTGGCGCTCACTGTCTATGCGTTCAATCAGTTGGGTGTGAGGTATGTGTCGGTCCCTCACCTCCACTCTCTCACCGACCGAATCGTATGGACTCTTCGCTACCAAGTGTTGGGTCTGTCGGCCGTCCTCTGGAGCTTTGGTCACGTGTTGGCGAACCGAGCGCTCAGTCCGGCCATCAATCCACTCGCCGGACACGAGTCAGCCGTCGAGAAGTCGTCGAAGATATTGGCCAACACTTTGGAGCAGTTCCTCTTCAATGCTGTCAATCAACTCATTTTGTCGACCTATTTGTCTGAGACTAACCTCAAACTCATACCACTCCTCAGCCTATTATTCTTGTTCGGAAGAATCGCATTCTGGATCGGATACCAAATCAATCCCAAATACCGTACCTTTGGCTTCACTGTCACCTTCTGGCCATCCGTTGTGGTCTTCGGTCTCAACACATACTTCTTGTTGACCACAAACAACAACTATCTCTTCGATGGCGGCAAACCTTTTGGGCGAATATGAATACCTTTCGGTCACTTCTGGCCACTAATAATCTCAACAATTACTCAATACTTAATAGCATTTCATTTGGTCTCTAAAAAGGCGTTTCAATATTTATTGAATGATTTATTGAATGCTTTCATTCATTACTTATTTTAATCATAATTGGTGTCCAAGAAGTGGACAATTTTCTAATGATTTTAATAATTTAATTGTATCTAAAGTCAGACAATAGATAAACATTTTTTATTTATGCAAACATTTATTCCTATTTTAGTAATAATTAGTTTAGTATAATTATATCAATAGTAATATGTATGGCATCTATACTTATATGACAATCGTATCATCCATTCATCTCTTCATTACATTTAACATTAAACACATTCTCTTATTATTGAATACTTTCTTTAATTCGATGTATTATTTGATCGATTCATGCATTTATATATAACATTACACATAAATGTAATTCATTTTCTATTATAACATTCTTATCATTACATTATGTATACATTAAAAGTGAATTTCAAATAAAAAATAAAATCTTTTATATATTTGTTTATTTAATTAAAAAAAAAGGTCTCAAAACGACCATAAAATAGGTATAAATTAATAAAAAGAGTGCAAAAGTGGTTTTAGTCCAACAGATCCGGTGGACGAATGGAGACATCTTTGAAATATCTGTGACTCAAAGCTTTTCGGGCAGAAATCCTTCGGTTTGGATCATATGTCAGAAGTTTCTGTAATTGAAAACACAATTAATTATTGAATGATTAAGTGATAGAAAGTAACCAAAAGAAGTTCAATGGCATCGGATTCCATGTTTGGCAAGAGTTTAGTGATGTCTTGTTTAGTCCATTGAGGGAATGTTGACTTATAGTCGGGGAAATTGCAAACCCCGGGCCATACCGTCTCGTCCGGTGTTCCCAGAGTTCGGAATATTCTGAACAACTGATCGATTTCTGAATCGCCCGGAAATAGGGCTCTCTTTGTGACCATTTCGGCAAAAATACATCCAATACTCCAGACATCGACTGACGGTCCGTAAAAAGGAGAGCCCAGAAGTATTTCAGGCGATCGATACCATAGAGTGACGACTTCGTGAGTATACGTGCGAATCGGAAGTCCTATACTTCGGGCTAAACCAAAGTCGCCTAACTTTATGTTTCCGTTGCAATCAATCAATAGGTTCTGCGGTTTAAGGTCTCTGTGGAGGACCCGATGTGAGTGGCAGTGCGCCAACCCCTGCAACAACTGCCACATATACGACTTGACCAGAGATCGGGCCAAACCTGATCCGGAAGTGCTGTCCAACAACTTCTTCAAGTCTTGGTTCAGGTATTCAAACACCAAATATAGGTTTTTATCGCAATGGACGACATCGTGGAGTCGGACCACATTCGGGTGATTCAACTCTTTGAGTAACGCTATCTCACGGATGGCCGTCGACGGCACCCCTTCTGACTCTCTGTCGGACACAACAACACACTTAATGGCAATCAATGGACAGATAGTATAGCATTGGGTCTTACGAGTCGAGTCTGATCTTCTTGAGGGCGACGAGAGCGCCGGTGAGAGTGTCTCTGGCCTTATAGACGATGCCATAACTTCCTTCGCCAATCTTCTCGATCTTCGAGAAGCTCTCTTCGATGGCCTTCCCATTGGTGTCCGTTTCAGTCATCACAACCACAATCACAGCCAATACTAACACTACTAATCACTAATCAATTCAATGTAAAACTCATGCAAAATACGGATCAAAAGTCACTTAAAAGCCATTGAAATGTGTTTTAAATTAAAAGGCATTCAGTGTTTAAATCGATGACTGAATGCATGTTTTGGCGCCAAAGCTATGCTTTTGTCGCTTTCCCTCCAAACACACCAAACATTGCAAACATTACACAAACACTGCATTCATGTGAACGTCATTTCTTCCAATCCATACACTTGTATTCAAATGTTGTTAAAAGTTATTAAAAGTTTGTAGAAGTAGTGAAGTTTAACAGAGTTTGACAAATATTTGTATTTTTGAGTTACGATATTATTAATAAGGAATTTCGGTGCACAACGGCAGGGGGGTTAACAAAAAAAGTGAAAAGTGAAATAGTCAATATATCCGTTCCAAACCAGCTCATTTTCCCAATTAAAAAAGTATATAAAAGCACCTAGTTTTAGAATAAAAGTAGAAACCCCTTGCAATGCAATTATGCTCACGTTTGTATGACATCACTAATTAATAGACCACTAATTAAGTTGTAATTAAGGCAAATAAAGTAAATATAGAACAAAACCCAGTTTACAACCACTGTTGTAAAGATAGTTAGCATTCATTGATACAAATTCTAGTTCACAACTTGTATTGAATAACTGTTGAAACGCCTCTCACTTTATATTGGATGCAAATTATGGACGAAATAATTAAAATGTATTGCAATAACAAAACAAACATTTGATTGGAAAATATCTTTAATAAAAATTGTGAAATAAATATTCAAATATTATTTGTAATCATTTTCTTCTAATGAGTTAGTGTTTGAGAAATATTTATTTGATTTTTAAAAATTATCGATGAAATTAATAATTAGTTAAAAACGATTTAATATATGAATTGAGGGATAAATTCTAGAGATTAATGAAAAATATCATTATTTATATAATAATCATTATAATTGGAAACAGTTCTGGAAATGGAAAACTAGATAAAAAACAGTAGTCTTTAAAGTTTTAATTAATAAATATATTGAATAATCAAAAACTTATTACTAAATAAAATAAAGTTAAAAGTTCTTCAGTTGTTCTAAAATAGCGAAATAAAAAGCAAATGTGGAATGAATTTATTGACACAATTGTCACCAAAAAATCAATCAATCGTTTAGAAAATAGAAAAATGGATGAATTAATGGCACACAAAGTATAGCTGCTTTTGCCAGTAGTTTGTCAGGACGTGGCGGCCAATAGGGGTGAACTGTTGCCCGATTGGCTCTTAGCTCTTTCGATGTAAAGCTTCAATAATTTCATTTTACTTCCGTTTAGTGACGATAAGTAAGGATTAATAGCATCGGCGACAACGCTGTGGATAGAAACCATGCAAAACACAGCAGCCTTTCGGACAGCACTTTCCGGATTGTCGTACGCCTAGAACAGAGCCATACATATTGTGTTAACAGTGTATCACATAATCAAACAAATTAAACAATTACTTGAAGCAATGCGGGCATCATTTGGGGCAATAAATCCATCACAATATGCTTTGGCTGTAATTCTATTAACTGTTAAATAGATATTTGTTTTAATATAAGATGTGATCAATTAATGTTAATATGTTTAGTCACTTACTTTAGTTAACATTTTAATGGCTGCAATATTAACAGGATTTTCACCCGTTTTAATAACAGACTTAAGTATTTTGAGGCACTGTTCGGGCGGCAATACAGCGGATGCAGTGCCGGCCGCGCCCTCAGCCGCGCGAACCACTTCTTTCTCGGGATCTTTACTGGACTCAAGAATTCTAAGAATTGTGAGTTCAATAAACTCTGGGAAATATTTGGTTCGTTTCATAAGCAGTTCGCACATCACTCTCAAAGACATGGCTCGGATCGCACTATTCGACTGTTCCGTCATTTTATCCAATAGTATTCGATACACTTCTTTGAATCTTTGAGCCCACTCTTCGTTACTTCCCTCGCGAATCAATTCAATCAAATCGTTGAGACTTTCTTTTTGAGATTCAGTGTCTTTAGTATTAGATCGCAAACCAATCAAAACTGTATTAAAATAAGCGCTGTTTTCGTTCTCAATATAAGAATGGTTTCCGTTCTGTGAAAACACAATCGGAATAATAGTCTCATTAGCGCTCGGTTTGAGAGGAGATGTGACCGGAGTTTGTCTGTTGTTCTGTCCGATGGAAGTGCCGTCTAATTGACTGATCCCTGAATCCTGTGAAGCACTCGACAGGTCTTTTATATTACGGCCTAAGACTGTCTTTTTTGGACTAATGGTCGGACTTAATGTCTGTTTATCATCACTTATATTGTGATTATTTGTTGAAGTGTTTGTAATCGTTGTAATGGAATCCGAATCCACATTAAAACTATATTTTTGGATTTCATCCGTCGTTTTGCGCAACGAATTGTAGATATCGTCGGGATTTAAATTCTCGGTTTCATCGTATAAACTGAGTTTATTGAAGGCCTGACTTGTTTTGATCACAGATGGGGTTCGAAGTGAGACAGGCGTTAGAGGACTGAATGCCGGCGATTGGCTACGACTCCTGCGCTTATGGTATATAATCTGAAGCGCCGCGTCTTCATAGCTGTCAACCAATTATTCAAGTTTTAATAAATTTCATTTTAACACTTGTTTAAAAAACATACGTTTTGGGCAAAGCGTTAATTATGAGTGACATATCGGCGGCGTTCAAGTTATACAAGTCTACGATCACGTCCTGAGATATTCTCCGCAATTCTGAGCTCTTGGGGTCTGCGGTCCACGAAATGATTTTCATAAGTGAGAGCTGTATCTCGTGATTATTCCTCGAATTGAAGTTTATATCGTTTGAATCCATTAATGGAATCAAATGAAGCAAATACTGCAGAATAGATGTCTTCACTCTAACGTTCGGAGTTTGTGTCTGATCTGAAAGAAAGCGGATAATCACCACAAACTGATCTTCCGGTGAGAATGACTCTCGAATTAAGTCAAATGTTTTTAGAATTCGGCTTTGAATGGATCCTAAAGTGTCGGATCCAATCTTCAACATGAGTCGAGTGATGAGAATATAAAGCCATGAATTCAACTCATGTTTATATATTAATATTAAATCGTTAAGAATTCCCAAAAATAATGTAAATGTCTGTAATTAAACAGTAAACAAATCAATAAATTTCTAATAGTTTTAAAAGTGATGAAAAACCCATACCTTTGTGTGCGGATCCAAAAGCATTTTTGTAAATATATCCGTAATTCTTATCAATTCGTATGAATTTAACATTCGTGTCGAGTCTCTGAACAAATGGGCTAAACTCTGGAGGCCTTCTTTCCTGTCTGACCAGTGAGTACTCGAGAGGTTCTCAATAATATCTGAGACATCCTTTATATCGAAAATATAATTAATTTCATTCATTATATAAATAAAATATTAATAAATACCTCTATTTTCCTTCTTCCATAAGAACTAAATGAAATATCGGAACAAATACTACAAAAAACAATAAAATTAGTGATAAATAAACTGTATATTACGGTAATAAATATTTTCAAACAATACCTCGAAGTTTCACTTTCATCCGAATGATCGTCGTATTGATTGTTATATCTCTTGCGAGCGCTCATTGCCTGTGCGTCAGCAATGAGAGCATCTTGGAGGGCGGCCTCTGCCTCTTGGCTTTGTTGAAGTATTTTCTCAGCCATTAAAGGCGTCTGTCTTTCATTTGTGTTTGAGTTATTGGCAATAAAGTTTCGATTTCTTCCACTAGCGCTCAGTCGCCTTTCCATCGATGCATATCCGGTAATGACAGCGCGATTAGGACTCGGATCACGACTGGAAGCCGTCGGTATTCCTGATTGTCGTCTCACTCGATGTCCGCGAGAGTCTGTTTGTATAGAACCGAAATTGAATCTCGAGGGCGACGCCGAACGACTGCCCGGTTGTGACTTCGATACTCTCGCTTTCGTTCGACTTCTTTCGGGCGTCGGATCCACTCTTTTCGGTGTCGTTCGCGCTTTAATTGCAACACATTTTTAATACATTTAAAAAATAAGATAGATTTAAGAAATAATAAGACATTTTGCAAAGACTTTAATAAAGACATATTACAAGACAATTCAAACTGAAATGCAATTCAAGGCGAATGCAAACCAAACTTACAAGCAGTATAACCGGAGGGAACACCCTTTGGCTGTGCGAGTGCTGCACAATAAGCCGCTCTGGCTTTAGCTCTTCGCTGCGCTCCGGGATCTATAGCACTGGTTGTTCTAAAAGGAGAGGGCATCACACGTGCAGACGCTAATCAAACAATCAATCAAACAAAACAAAATATATAAAACATGCTTTCCATTTGAGACGTGCTTTCATTGAGAATGACATCAATTCTTACGGTCATTTCGTGGAGAAAATATGGGAATCCCTGACCGGCCTTTAGTCAACGTGTTTTGACGGCTCAGGTTCTCAATGGAACCGCTGGAAGAGACACTTGTGGTGCGAATCGATTGTGGTCTTTGTGGGGCCGCTTTGGTCAGCGAATGGGTTGAACTCCAATTGGAGATATTGTTGTGTTCGCCGTGAAGTATACGCTGTTTACTGCTGTCCAACGAAGTCATCAAATAGTTGGCCTCTTTCTTGAACTTATCGGCGAAACCCCAGTAAGCCTTTCGCGCGTAAGTGCGGGCCTCGGGGTCGGCGTCGCAAATGCCCTTTTTGATGGCCTCTGACAGTATCGCCACATGCTTTTCGAGGGACTGATTGGGCCACGTGTGGAACATCTGATCCAAAAACTCACAGCAAGACTTACGAATCTCTTTAGACTTCGACGATATATTGTATGTAATGACTGGAATCAGACGACTCGCGTGAGTCGACTGTATTATGAACCGAATGGCCACTACTGCAGAGCTCGACATTATTTTGGCACTATTTTGAATCAGATTTATAAGTGTTGGAAGTAATGCTTCAACAAATCGATCGCATCTTTAATGATGAATACAAATGGATATAAATATTAATGAATCATAAATAATGAAATCAAAATGCAATGCAAACCTGATTCCCAGTCGTTGCGACATATATGCGATGGTAATGGAGGCCTCGCGAACCACTTTGGATCTCAAGTCCTTCACTGACACTTGAAATGCCAGTTCCAGTGGTTTAAGATAGCCATTGAATTCGTCGAAATCTGCGGCTCCGGCTATTAATAGAGAGCGCAGTCTTTTGAGGGCTTCCACTCGTTTCTCCCATTGGATGCTCGGGTCGGCACACGTCTCACGGATTTTATTAATTTCTCGGTCCAAGTCTTTGCTCGAAAAGATCATAACTCGGGGCACGTCTTCGAACTCATTCATGAACAGCTCCTCATCGGCTCCTCCAGACCCTACGATTGACACACATTTAAATGCCATTCATTAATACAACACCAAAAACTTGATTCAATTATTTAAAACAAGTCAACAACGAGTCAATCGCTCTCAATGTGTCAAACCATTGATTCGCAAGAAATACATTGCATTTAAAACAAATTTAATATATTGAATGATAGGTCACACAAATTATACTGAAGGATATGTATGTGTGACTAAACCAGTAATAAATGGGACACAAATATGAGAATTTCACTTTCATTTACTTTTAGGTAATGTTTGAGAATATTCTTAATTCTAAAGCAATATTACCCTAAACTTTCGTGCATTACCCGCGGGTTATCTATTGTAAAAAGTGAAATTCTTTTTACAATTTTAGTTTTAGAAAATTCTTTTGTGCGGGTCATCAATAGGTGGGTTATGTATTGATTACTACATGTAGAATAATATTCACATTCAAATTATTGAGGTGCGGGTAATGCACAGAATTTTATGGTATTCATAAATATCACAATTCTTTTATCATCAATAATATTAATATTAAAAGATAAGTATTTTATTATTTATCAAATATAAGCCATTTGTAAAACAAATTAGTGTAAAAGAATGCGGTTTTAATTTATATCAATATTGATATGAAATATGCACCAAACAAGAGAGAGAGACCATAGAAAGAGTCGAGTCCTGAGGCCCGCTGTCCGCCACTCTGTCTCTCGTAATCTCCATAAGTTATGTTAGAGAGAGAGAGAGAGAGACAGAGAGAGAGAGAGAGAGAGAGAGAGTTTAATTTTTGTCATAAACTTGTTATCAAAATCATTGTTTTCGACACAATAATGCCATACATTATAAAAACCCATATTCTTATGACATTTAGCAAAAATAGTTGCAATTATTTGAATTGATTTAGTATTCATATCAAACATTTCAATCACATTTCATTCACATATCATTAGATTCATTACTATTAATACACTATATTTGAATAGTAATCAACATTTGGTTTTGTTATCCATTTTTAGAAACAATAAATAAATAGCAGATCTATAGATATGGATGGGAAGGGCTTGTAATGCAGTTATATTACATTTTTGGGACAACTGTTTGTATGTCTCGGGTGTTAACCATTCAAAACAATGCTATTATATGTTAACATAACTTATGGAGATTACGAGAGACAGAGTGGCGGACAGCGGGCCTCAGGACTCGACTCTTTCTATGGTCTCAATGGTCGTGACTTTCGTCACATTATAAACAATTGAATGCATTTCTAATATAATATGTATTGCAAATCATATGGAAAGGGAGTCTATTATAGATATGGTTTATTGGGAGCACTGGTATGCCATAGACCGGCAGATATACCTGTTTGCCACTCCATATAGAGAGACACCACTTAATAGTCCATACATTTTCATTAATACCACTAATTATAAGGCTTTTAATTCAAGTAAAACTAATTTTGCACTCAATTGTCAATCGAGTCTAACATTAATACAAATACCATATAATCTATGAAAACAATATAAAACACATGTCATTATTGTCATCATTTGAGACCAAATAGCCATAAATGAGACCACAATTGAGACAATTGTCATAACTCTAAGCCATAACTCAATGGCTGTCAATAATAATAGGTTTGCATTTGACTCAACACAAGCGGCGATTGAATGAGACAATGGACTCACTGGAAGTGCTGTCCATTTGAGTGACTTTGTTAGCGGTTAAGGCATTCCTCTTCATCGGTGGTGCACTTATGGCGCGCTTGACAGATGTCTTCGCGCTGTTCATCGATGTCTTCAGATATCAATTCAAACGTCAATGGGTTTCACCATTGGATGCATTGAGTGATCAATGAATGGATTGAATGAAGATTTCAATACATTTTGTGTCGACAACTGACGAGACATTGAGTCAAAACATTTCAACACAAACACAACCAATGAATGGCCAAAATGGCTGCCATTACGTCCTTTATTGACTCCCAATTTGGCAGACATTCTAACACATATCACGTCACACACGGCGAGGGTGTGGGGGCTCAACACCAACACTAGCAACATATACTCACAATTGTCAGCCCAATGGGGGCTCTTATAAGTGAGATAATCGTAACGTTATATGTGATGGATGTGTGTATTGAGTGCAGTGGAGTCACGGTTTGAGTGACGCCTTGAAAGGGCCAAAGCGTTGAACGCCTCACACATTGAGTCATCGCAACTCAGTTCACGTCATATTGCCATACATTTGGCGCTCAATTCAAACTCATTACTCGTTTTGATTGCAATAAAAGTTTGGTTTTGTTTTTTTGAGCAAAACTATTGGTTTTATATTTAATAATAATTATAATAATAATTAATATATATTTTTGTATACATTTTGTATATATTATTAACAATACATTTAGTAAATGTTGAGTCTTTTGAAAGTGTTTTATATTTTGTATTTAATTGTAATAATTGAATGATTTGAGCAAATATTGAGTGAATGTGTGAAAAGTGTTGTTTTAATTGTTGTAATAATCACTCAATTTGTTGTAATAATTATTGCATTACTTATAATCGTATTGTTTGAGCACTTATTAAGTCATATAATCATTGGTTTTGGTTTTTATAGCAATATTAGGGTTAATGTTATTATTGTTTGAATGGTTTGTTGAACGGCTTTAATGCCTAAAGAGTGTCCACTCGTGTCCACTGAAGAGTTGTGCGATTCATAGAGTGATCTCCAGTTTATTGCCTCTTCGGTGGATCTTCGGGGGACCGGAAGTGGTGTCGGGCGGACCCAAACACCTGAACACAAACGTTACCACATCTGATCCAAACCACGCCTCAAATCTATGGGACAATTGATAAGATTGTGGTCACTATTGGTGTACAGTATGTGATGATCGATGACATACTCGTTGGTGATGTTGATGTGCGGCGCTTTGGCCACAGCGTTCTGGATGACCAGGAACAGTTTGGTCACCATCTCGATCACGTGCGTCGACTCAAACACAAACGACTTCCTCTCCTCCACTCCGCTCTCATCCTATAATTGAGACAAAAGTTTTGTTCATTTAATTGCTATTCAATGGTATCTAAGGCTGAGTCGATGTCCACTACTCACAGAACACGTGTGAATGATGACAATGTCGTCGATGTATGGGCTCAACGATATCTTGTGGATGTGATGGACAGGTATGCGGTATTTGCATTGCATAGTCCGCTGATCCATAATAACCATAGCACTGGTACTGATCACAAACAACTTCTGCACAAACTTTTCAATTCAATGCATAATTAGTGACAAATCTAATTGTGGGACCAGTTGTTGGTTACCTTTCCTCCACTTTTAGTGATTTTGTTGATAATGTCGGCGAAGACGACGTATTGATCGCCCAATTCTTGCGAACACCTCTGCCATCGGGCGCTCTGTCGGAGGCGGACGTAATCACCGCGAAAAGGATGGGAAACACTCTTTCGATACGAGACTTTTTTATCTCGAAATATAAGACTTGCGGTCACTTTTTCGCGCATTCGGTTTCGAGCCGTTTGATCGAAACGTAATCGATATCTATAGCACTGAAAGTTCATTTCACTGATGATTAGTATTTTGCTTATAAATATGTTGTTTAACTTTTATACTTACTCTCCATTTATGATAGAGTTTTCGTAATAAATAGTTTGTTTGCTGTAAAGAGCGCGGAGCTAATGGCCATTCACGGCATATCGGCGATTGTGAGGGCAGTCGACGGCATAACCAAAACAAATACGTTTTCCTCTATTTTTGGCGTTAATTTTATATTTAAAACACAATTTAAATGAAAACTAAATTATAATTGTATGAAAAGTGGACATACTTTCCAAGCTTTGTAATTTTTAGAGATAATCTGTTGACTTTTGACAAGTTGTACAAATAGTTTACGTCGAGTCCAACCCCTCCACACTTTCTGTACCAAAGTTACCAATTCATTGAGCCTTTCGTTCCGGTATTCGTCTAATTCTGTCATCTATTACACCAAACATTGCATACATTGTATAATTTATTACTATTTCTGATAAGAGAATTGTTTAATAAATATATCAAAATTGATACCAATGTTAGGTTTTTAATGAATATTTTGGTTTTTCCAAAAGCATATTCCAAGGGATGAATTGGGAACTCTTTGAGCAAATGTGTGACGCCCTCGATGGGAGCGCCCGTCCATTTAGGCCAAGTCATCGGTGATAGCATTTTGTATCGTTTGAGAAAGGATTCGTAGTCTTCTCTGTGACAATAGCCGGCCTTTCGGAGTCTTGAGGTCTCAACTAAGGACTGATACCTGACCTGATGCTGAACGAGACCCGTATCAAACACTTGTGGTACTTTTGCAGCGTTTGGTTTAATACACTTTATAAAATGCAATTCTTTCGACTGTATATTCTTCATGAGAGCACCGATCGATATCTTGAATTGTGTGGCTATAGAGGCCGGCCTTTTAATATGGGTTCGGTAGGGATTCCCCTCAGGGAACAGGACTTTTAGTAACGGGTGTTCACTTTGAAACATAACGTACGATAAATCTCTATATAATATATCATTGTTTTTGTCAACAAAACCATTTACAGAGTAAGTCACCTGAAAATTAAAAGTATAACTCTTTTTATTATAATTTTTATGTATTTTTAATATATTTAACATTATTTTGAATATATTTTGTTAACATTATTCTAGCGAAAACTCATAGAATATATTGTTTAGTCAATTATTAATTTATAGAACAAATATATTCTTGTCTTTTACTACAAGATTCATTTGTCATATTTTCATATTGTTTAGTTATTCTAATATTATTTTAGTGATTTAAATATTAATATAATTCTTTCTACTATTTTAATGCATACAATGGATTTGATAGAAAATCTAAATGTTTAACGCATTGAAATTAGTTTAAATTAAAAATATAAAAACCTAAACTCGTGTTTGTTTTAAAAGTTACGTATAAATTAATAATTTCTATATATTTTTGTTTTTATTGGATTGAATAAAAATAAGAAAGTGTTGTAAGTATGAGATAATACAGTGACTTACAGTTCCTGCGAAATGTCTGACTCGAAAGCAATGGTTAGGCAGCGGTGGCAGTGATGATGAAGTGCTTCCGGGATTGTGTGGTTCGCAGGATATATTCAAATGAGGCACTACTACGAAGTTTTTGCATCCGTGGCTTTCATAGTATGGGTTATCCTGACTGTCAAAGTAAGGATTATCCTCACAGGCTTTGCTCAGGTTTTGGAGGAACATCTCATCAGTGATTGGAGTGGCTTTCAGGCACTCCTCTTCTAATAGGGCTAGTATTCCGTGATTGTTCTGCGAAGTGATCACACCATACAAAGCAACACTTCAATTATTCATCAATGTTTCAATCAATCGTTACATACCTTTTCAATCAAATCGCAAATTACATTATTATTAAAAAAATCAATCTTTTTCCATTGAATTCCCTTTGGGTTTAATACAAAACACTTGTTATTTACAGTAATTGTAACACAAAATAGACAAATGAAAACTTACTTCTTTGGCGTACAATTCCTGTTCATATTTTATGGTGAGATCAATATAAATTTGGTGCAATTTTTCATTGCAATAGTTTATAAGAAATTGCTCGAAAAAATTCTCCTAAAATAACATAATTGTTATAAATTGATATTAATTTGATATGTTATTCAATATTTACATCAAAAACTTCAAATCCATAGACATCAAGAATACTGACAGATCTTCTTTTGCTAATAATTTTTGCCTAAAATTTAAAGTATGTTTAGATTTATTAATTAAATTAACAACATTGTACGATTAATCATATCGATTAAATTAAAAGTTTCTAATTAACAGTAAAAGTACTAAAAGTAAAGAAGTTACCGAAAAATACATACTTTTATAAATTCATTAACTTTATTGACAATCCAAGTAAAGAGGCGATTGTAAAGTGCTTTACATAAGGCATCTCTTGTTCTTTTGGCCTAAAATACAACAATGAATGGAAATATTAAAATGAATTATCATTTTATAAATGTTTTTCACGGTATGTCTCACTTCAATAGAACAGAGATCAGCGACAAGTAATTCATGTCGTGTTTCAATGATTCGTTGTGTAAAAGCAGTTTCCAAAGCAGTCATATCGGAGACCAATAGTTCGCACACGTCGTACAGCTCTGAATGAATAATTCAATTTATGACAACATTTAAATATATTATGAAATATGCAAACAATATATGCAAACCATATTCATTAAGTATAGAACAGCCTTCAGTGCCGTCAATATTGGCCTTCGGTATGAATTGCAAGTTTCCTAACTTAAGTATTGCAGAAATTATTTGAAAAACAGAAACTATATCTTCGGCAGTAAATCCAATGGTTTCCATTGCTTTCTGTAAAATTGATCAATAATTTTCAATTGTTGTATTGTTTGTTATATTATTTATTAAACATACTTTTGTTAAAATAAAAGTATTTTTGTCGTCAATATCATCTGACTTTATTGTTTGAGAATCACTTAATAGTGAATAACTTTCAATATTTCGCTGAAGTTTTAATAATTCTGTTAAATGAGTATTAATTCAAAGTTTAAACCAAGCGTTAAATCAGTAATAATTACAGAATTAAAAAACTTACTCAATAAATGTAAATCAATTCCATTGAGAATTTGATAAAAAATATGAAAATTTCTTTCGCCAACTGATTGATTAACCACTCGGGACTAAACCATAATTAATGAAGTTTTTAAAACATGTGTTTATGTATTACATTTCAATTTACCTTCTCCAATAAATCTTAAGTTTGCAATAATATAATATTAAAATTTTGTTACTTTTATTTATTAAATTAACATAATATTTAAAAATGTTAAATAATTTTTAAAAATTGCTTACATTTTGTAACATTAGCTCCCATTGGATCCCCTTTGAAATCAAATTCAATTTCTAGAAACATTCCCTATTATTTGAATGAAACAAAAATTATATCGATTTATAAAAAAAGTTTTGTATTTTCTTACATAACGTGAAGAATTGCTGTTATGAATAGTGACTGCATTTCCAAAAGCTGTTCAATAAATTAATACAAACAATGATTTGAGAGAAAAGAAAGTAAGAAATGATTGAAGTGTTGAGACAGACCTTCCAAAACATAATTTAAAGACAACAACTGTTCCTTCAGATACTCTAAATTTTTTCGCCGACTCGAGCCGTATATAAGGTATTGCAATGCAATTTTGGCCGATTCTGTATAATTATTATATAAGAAATTAATTATTTTATATTAAATATTGTAGTATTTTATCAGAAATCTATAAACTTATAGATGTTGTGTTAATAATGTTATTATTTTAATTAACTTCTATTTGAATGCAAAGTATAAGGATTATAATGTTATTCACTATTGAACGGCTAATAAACTGTAAGCCGTGTATTGCAAGAAAGTGTCATTTAAACGAACAATTCTTTCAACTTGAAAGTTTCAAGTAATAATTCAATTGATTTTTAAAATTATTAAAATAATTATTGTAAAATTGAATGAATTGTGTAAATACCTGTCTTTCCCGAACCACTCTCTGTTGAATTAGCCATGAATTTGAAAACAATAAATATAAAGTGTGAATAATAATCACAAATAAATATTATTAGTTTTGAGACTAAACCTCCTGTAGTAACGATGCATTGGTCGTGATTTCTGTCTTTCATTGAATGAAATAAATGTTCAACGATTCCATAACTATTACATTAATGAAACAAATATTATGAATTTGTTGTATTAAACAAATAATAGCTCACATATGTGGGGGTAAATCAAGAAGATTGTGGTGTTGATAGGCAGCGATCACTTCCGGTGAATAAAAGGATAAATTCTTATATGGATTGACAGCAATAATTGTTGTTCCCATATATGTCTGCATTTAGATAAAAACACAAAACAATTAATTAGTCATGTAAATTAAATTAAAAAAATTAATGTTGTCTCGTATTAAAAATATTTTTATATTTTAAAACTATATTCTAAATTTAAAATTATTTGTAATTAATAACTATATCATTAAATGCATTATACAGTATTTTATAAGCAAAAATTAATATAAATAATAAATATCTATATAATTCGTTAATAATTTATTGCTATAAAAAATTATATAAATAAAATATATATAAAATACTTTTATAAATGTGTATAATTAAACTAAATGATAAATAAAAGGCAAATAGGATAAATGAAATCATACATAGATTTGGTCTCTATTGAATCTTTGGTGCAAATTTTGAATGAGAGTGTCTACAGTGATGGGGTCAAGAGATGTGGTATCGGTTTGGCCGACCTCTTGATCCAAACAGAGGACTCCGTGGATTTCTTGCCATAATTGCATTGACATTATATATCCAAACAAATATAATTTGGACAAAAACGACCACAACTTGCAATAATTGACAAATACATCAATTCATGTTTGTCTCCAGAATCGCATCCATTAAATATTGATATTTTCTAATATTTATTGACACAAATGACACCATTTGGTTGAATGATATCTTCATAATGTTATATATGAATTGAATGAATGGATGAATTAATTAATCCTAATATAAATCTTCCATCAAATGCATGAATTAAATCTAAAATAAACAAATTGTAATCATATGAGAGTTTTACTTAGATTTTAATATAAAATTAAGTAAATATTTGGCGACAAATATTATAATATTCTTCAATTCAAATAAATATTATATGAAAATGAAATTCTAAATCATTTGATAAAAAATTGGCAAAAATAATGAATTAATTAATTTCATTGTAAAATAACTTTTAAATGCAAAGCGAAGCGCCAAATGATATATCAATAATAAAATATTATTATATCAAACATTTTACTTTACATTATGTAAGGAATAGATACTGAGCTAATAATCAATAAAACACCAGTTAATGTGCCAATACTCACATCTGTTCAGTCGTTATTTCCATCGCTATTTATAAATTCCGATACAAATTCTCTGTTTTTAAAGAATTCAATCAAAATAACTCATATATTAGTTAATTATTTTGTGTTTTATCTAATGATTGTAAGTCAGAGTGAATATCACTCATAGAAACGGGAGGAAAAAATTCTACCATTAATTTAATACTGTTTTACTCTTCCATATATTCTATGCTTCTGCAGAATTGATGTTTTCTTACTCCTCTCTCTCTCTCTCTCTCTC